TAAAAAATGTTTAAAAAATAAGAAAATAAAAATAACTGATGTCAAAAAATAAATAAACTGCAAAAAAAAAGATCTATATACAAAAAAAGAAACAATCTGTTGGAAGATAGACTAGTAAAACTCTAGAAGACTTAGATGTAGGCAAAAACTTTGTGTTCAAAAACCTGACTGTGCAGGAAATATCACAAAGAATCAACAACTGGGATGCATCTTATTAAAAAATGTTTTAGACACCAAAAGGAACAACCAACAGAGTGAAGACACAAGCCATCACACGGGAAAATATTTTTATGAGCTATCCCTCAGACAGAGAATTAACACCAACAATATGTAAATAACTAAAAAAAGAACTTCCTTCTTTTATTTATTGAAATAACCCAAAATTTCATAACAAAAAATAAATGTGATTAGTATTTTTTCATTTATATCATATTATTATATTGATAGGTTAAAACACATCTTGGGGAGAAATTAGCCAATATGGCATAAAAACCTGCTAGTGCTGAGAGCAGCTCAGTAGTACATAACTGGCTTTTGGTGCATGCAGTCTTTTGAATGATCATTAATCCTTTCTCAATTGGCATAGATTTTTTTTTTTTTTTTTAATTCTGAGGCATACAAATTGCCTTGGAAGAACTTTTAGAAATGGAATTTCCTTAAAATTTGAAATGCGCATAATTTAGTGGGGAGGCACATTTAGATGACACACAGATTCCCTCTTAGCATTTCTTTAAGATAAAAGGGCAGATTGAACTTCCCATTTTCCTGATGGTGTTTAAGTAACTAAGAGTAACCAAGCTGCCGTGTATTTGCATAGCTTGTAGGTGGCCTGGGGTCGTCCTGCCATCTCCTCAGCTCTGACCTGTGCTACCTGACGGACTCATCGTGGGCTTGTCCAGTGGCTTCAGCCTCCATATGGCTAATTCCTTCCCCAGTGCGTGCTGTATATTCTCCATAGTCTGTATCCCCAGCAATCAATACATTAATACTGGGAAAACTCAAAAAAAAAAAAAAAAAAAAAAAAAAGAAGAAGAAAAAAGAAAAAGAACAATTTCAAATGTTTTCCTACATCAAATGAAATGATGTGTTATTTTTATCCTTCCTTTGTTTAATATGATGTATTATATCAATTTTTATATTAAAATACCTTAACTTTCCACGAATAAATCCTGCTTAAGGCACATAATATCTTTTTTTTCAGTTTTTTCCTTTTTATTAAAAACATACTATTTATGCTTATGGTAAAACAAACAAGCACTTTCAAACAGTAGAAATGAGCATTCATAGAAAAGTTCTATCCCTCACCTCCCAGTCTCTATCCCCTCCCAAGAGTTACTCTAGAACTGTCCTTTCCATAAATATTACTTTAAAAAACCCACATGTGATCATATTGTGCATATTTCCTTTACCACATGAGCTTTTTTTTTGTGGTACCAGGGATTGAACTCAGGACCTTGCATTTGCCCGGCAAGTACTTACTCTACTGAGCTATCTCCCTGGCCCTCACATGTGCTTTTGGAAACTATACGTCATGGATGTTTTCTATACTAGCACAGACTCTATCTTTTTTATACTGGTTAGTTGATGCAACCTATTGCTTATGGATGGCCATTTTGACTGACTGCAGTATTTTATTGGTAACATATACAGCACCCAGGGAGTAGACGAGTACTAATTTATGTTTTTTTACTGACTAGAAATGGTGAGAATTGGTTCTGATGATTACAATAGACTTCTGAAAGCAGTATGGCTAGCTTTGCAGGCGGATATAACTTGGGACCTCCCTGCTACTAAAGGGCAACACTGTTCTTATGGCAGTTTCTGAACAGTGAGAGAGTCCCATACAAATGGTATCTCAGATGTGTCACTCACTGTAAGTCACTTCCAAGGGAAGGGGGTCTTCTATATATAAAGGTCACTGCCACTTCATGTGAAGGCAATAGGTATTTCAACAAATAGCAGAACAGATTTCAGTCCAAACTTATATTTGTTTAGTATCAATAACATGGACTGGAAGACCTAGCAAGTTACATACATTGGGTATCCCTTATTTGAAATGTTGAGGGTCAATGTTTTATACTTTGTAGTTTTTGGGACTTTGGAATATATGCATAGATTTTTATTGGCTGAACACCCTCAATTAAAAAACCCCAAATCCAAAATGCTTCAAATATTAAATCTTTCAGCATCATGTCAAGTTGAGATGATCAACTTGTACTGTGTTAAAATATGTTCAAAATCAGCAGCTGAGAGAATGCTTTTATAAAAAAGACAGTAAGTTCCCATGCACTATCTTGCAGACTGCATTACTCTTGGAACAGATGACAGCCAGTCAGAATCCTGGTATTACTGTTAGAGCCTTTTCTCTCACCTCCACATCATGATGATACACTAAAGCTTTCATTTTCTGGACACAATCCTCTCCATATAAAAGGGAGAACAAGGAACTGTAGGGAGGGGAGGCTGAATAGCTAAAAGGCCTCCCCGTTGGAGGCAGTTATTTATATTCTGAAATAGTGTAAGTACTCGAAGGAGAATCTCTTGTGCTGTGTGGCCATCAAAAAGGGAAAGGAATGACAAGTCCACTTGGGCAGTGAGAAGTCCTTCTGTCATGGCTGGATTTTCAGACAAATTGACAAGCAGCTTCAATACTTGAACCTTGGTGGTGCCATTTCCGGTCAGTAACACACGAAACAGGTCTGCGGCATAACCACTCAGCATGTGCTGGTGCTCGTTGGTGACCGTCATGTTTGTGAACAGTCTCAACCCAGCCAGCTGCACGGCAGAATCCAGGGGACCAGACAAGACATCCTCACAGACTTGATGGACGAATACCTTTATCTTACCTTGATTTTCAACATTCACACTCAGGTTATTGAGAGCATTTAAAGCTTTCTCTTTAATACTGTGGTTTGGGCTGTTGATTTTATTTCCAACAATTGGAATACCACCCAACTCACGAATAATAGCTTGGTTGCCTGAAAAGGCTGCACTGTTACCCAGAGTGACCAAGGCTCTTTCAGTAATTACAGGATCCTCAGTTGACTCCAGCAAGTAAAGGAGTTTCTGAAGTTGTTCAGCATTGAAGATATCATCGTATGAGCCATTAGGTAAATCTTCTGTGAACTCTGAGGAACGGAGCCCGCGCTTGCTGTGCCGTGGGCCGTGTGCCACGCGATATAGGCAGAAACCAGCGCCCTCACCCAGAGCCAGGCCCGCCGCCACCCAACCTGCAGCCCGTGCGCCACCCATGCTGCGCAGCGCTGAGCTGCGCGACGGCGCGGCCATATGATATCTTTAATGTGCTTTTGAATTCAATTTGTTGAGTACCTTTGTATCATTATTCATCAAGGGTATTGGTATATATTTTTTCTTTGCCTGGTGAGCAATATTGACAGAATGAGCTCAGAAATGTTCCTTTCTCTTTAATTGTTTTGAAGCTTTTAAATATTCTTTAAATGTTTGGTAGAATTTTCTAGTCTTTTGATATATTACTTTCCCAATTTCATCTAGTTTTCTAGTATTTGTGTTCTGTTTTAGTTCACTGAGTATCTTTGTGAGAAGTAGTGTATTTTAAACATTTTGGCAGGTAATTTCTAGATATGCATTTCTTTGGGGTAGATTTGTTAAGTTTTGTTTTGTACTTTTGATTGATTCATATTTCCTTGTTTCTTAGAATTGCATATAATGCTTTTGCTGGGATTTGAAGAAATGCTCCTTGCCTTTGCCTAGTGGCTCCGAGCTGTAGAAGTCCTTCCTCCACGGGTTCAGCGGGAGGTTTGCGCCTCTCAGATCTTTTATCTCTTGCTTTTCTTGGCAGCTGTCTATAAAGTTAGAGCTCTGATGTGCTGCTTAGTTTTGTTTTCAACTGCTGTCAAACTCTGGCAGTAATCTTCCTGGTGCCTCTTATCATGTGAGAGATAAACCAGAGCTCTGGGCTCCAAGTCTACTGTTTACTTTCAGCCGGGAGGGAGGAGCCCTCATCTGGAGATTTTCTCTCAGTTGCTCACGCGCATGTGGAGGGGCATGGATCTGGGCACCAAATGTTGCAGAATTTTGGGTGTAGCTTTTGTTGGACGCTTTCTTCACTTGATAGTGGCTTGGGTGCTGGAGCTTCCCAGCTGGTCTTCTCACAGAGATGTTCTGGTTCCTATACTGTTGTTCAGTTGGTGGCCCGGGGCAGGGAAGGGCCTGTAGCTTTCGAGTCCACCACCTCGCTGTTGTCCTTTTTCGGCTACTTCTTTTTTCCCATGGAAGTTTAAGAACCAGAGCACTAGGGAATTATGAAGTCATCACTAATTTCAGTGAAAAAGCACTTTCTCTATGGATGTTATGTAGAGATGAAAATTATCGAGCAATTGTGGTGGCATTTTACTAGATCTGCATTTCTTTGGGGTAGATTTGTTAAGTGGCATTCCTCTGCATACTGAGGAATGTGGTGAAGGGTTCTGATTCATGATAATTGTGGTGGCTTTAGGGTCTGGAGAGAGGTGCTTGGTGGGTAGGAAGGCAATTCCATTCCAGGACAAGTGGGAACTACTTCAGCAACACCCAGTTTTCTAGTAGCTCACAGGCAGGATTTCTTTCAGAAGCTCCAGAGCTCTGGTTTGCTTTGTACCTGGAAGGTTAGGACTCTGAATACGCTTCAGTGGTCTGAGGGTTTCTGGCTACACGTCTCTGTTGAAGCGATCACACTTATGACGAGGGCACGCGGACCTTGTGGTAGGAAGACTCTGGAAAGATGCTCCTTAGCTCACCAAGGGAATGATTCCCCTGAACAGAAGTACTTGGGCAGAGGGAGGTTGGTCCCAGAAAGGCAGAATGTGAAAGCAAGTATCAGAATACATGGAGGACGCACAGGCTCCTAGTTTTGGAAATGTATAAACTGAGGCAAGGTGACCGGTCGATGGAGATGGCCATGGCCTGCTAATGTAGAGGAAAGTTTGGGTTAAATTGTCTTCTGAGTGTCCAGATCTGCATACTGAGGAATGTGGTGAAGGGTTCTGATTCATGATGATTTTATGGGGATGCTAATATCAGTGGAAGACTACAGCGCCTCACGCGATGTTGAAAAGGATACAAAAATATATCAAGGAAAAATATTTAATTTCTCAATGTAAAAACAAATGTGATGGGTCCAGCTAAAACTGAGTTGTTTTGTTCGTCTAATTCTAGTCTTTTCTGGTGATCCAGAAAGAAATTTGCACTGTGGACAAATTTTCACAGGTTATGAAGGCCTGCTGTCCACATCCAGAGAGTGGCTGACAACGGCCTGCTGGGTAACAGAGGGTACATAGGATGAAGCAGCTGCAAAGGGGCGCTCCCTTGTATTTTCCTCCGTAAGTGACATTCAAACTCTGCAAATCATGAAGCAGCACGATGGAGAGCTTTGGGGTGTGCTGAGGAGAACATTTCCTGCCGGAATACTTCACTGTGGCCTTCAGCCCAGGGTGACTTCCTCACTTATCTTTATTGCTACGTAGCTTATTAACTTTGTAGGAACTTGTGGTCAAACACTGGAGATTTGATTTGGAGGCTCCGTTACTGATGTTGCCTCCCTTGTTCATGGTCTTAGATCTCTTGGCTTTCTTATCATGCCTATCATGCGTAATTTCTTTTTCTTTTTTTAAAAAAAATGTACAGGCCTCATTGTCACCTCTGTAAATATTTACTGTGATGGAAGCATGACCTGTGTCTCAATTTTAGCCACACTGACCAATTCTGGACACCAACCAACAGTCGTAATTTCTTGTTTCACTGAAATAACTTTCTCTGAATGCCACAAAAAACTTAACAGCCTATTTTGAAATCAAGTCGATCCTTTATTCTAATACTTCTATTCATTAATTTTCTGTTAATAAATTCATGTAAGGAAGGCATGAATGGTTTTCCCTTCTTTGTGTGTTTAAAATGAAAGCTACAAGAGTTGCTTGAAGCACACACATTATTTTTTGCTACCAGAAAGTAGCAAACATACAAAATACTGTCTTTATTTTTATTGCAATTGTCCTTAGGTTCTTTGGAACTATCTCGGGGAACCAAGATTCTTGGAGCTAATCAAGAACGAGTTGCTTTGTCAGTGGCCTCCTGGTCTGAACTCAGCCCAGGCTCTTGTTGCGTGGGGCCCGCTCTGCGGCTGAGCCTCCGCGCCCTTTATAATGATGTAGGAGTCATTTCGGGCACGTCCTGCAGTGCTGTGCGCTCTTGTGCTGGTGACGCGTGTGCGCGTGTTTGTCATCTAGGCACAAGCTCCCATTCCAGCTGGAAAGCCTCGTCTTTGATCTAGACACTGTAGAGGAAACGTTGGTGCTTATCTCAGAGCCGGGAGCGTGGGTGTGGGGAGGAGTCTGCTGGCCCACAGCTTCCACCGCGCTGTTCCCGGACGCCAGCGGGACTGCCTGAGTTCGCTCCACGCAGGCAGACTTCAGCTGCTCCTCCTGAGATCCTGACGGAAGAGCGTTTGCCTCTAATGTCATGAAAGGAGACAGTGCAGCTGTGTTTATGGTGGGAGTTACCTGTAATGTATGTTCCAACCTCAACGTTTAGGAAGATTGGCTGTTTCCTTTTATTTAAACACTTAAATTTATTTTCGCCGTCCCCTCCCCCGTCTCTCTTACTCCCTCTCCTCTCCCTCTCCCTTCCTCCTTTCTCTTTTTCTTCTTTAAGGTTCATGTCCTACAGTTTTATGTATTTATTTATTTTTTTAGGTTGGAAAATACTTTTGTTCTGTGGTACCGAGTTGGAATTGAAGAAACGACAGCATTTCACAATGTGCACCTATATTTAATTTTAATGTGAAAAACATGAGATAAGGGAAAGTAAACATGCTAGTGTCCAAATGAGGGTAGGACATTATTAGGAGGTTTGTGAGGTACAAACGGACCATACAGTAGGAGCCCCTTCTCATTTAGTTTTCTGCTGTCTTATGATTTTGGTATAGTTCAGATCATGCTAAATTTTATTATCATGAAAAAATTACTTCTTTAAATTCTGAGTTATGGAATTCAATTTTGGATTTTTGTAGGAATTCATTGTTAATTTTCATGATCTATACTTTTCAAAATTTTTATCTGAGCACTAGTGGATCATTTATGTTTCTCTAGCTTTTTTTTTTTTTTTTGTATTTAGGACAGGGTATACAGGCTGTATAGGGTCTCACTGCATAGATTGGACTCGTAGCGATTCTCCTGTTTCCAGCCTCCCAAGTGCTGAGATTATAGGTGCACACCACCATGCCCAGACTCAATTGGCCGGCACAGCAGGCTGGGGATTGAACTCCTCGGCCCCTGCATCTGCCTAAGCGGGTGCTTCAACCCGCTGAGCTATTTGGCTGGCCCTGTGTTTCTCTAGCTTTGACCTATAGGCAGCTCCGTACACAGGGGACAGAGAGTCAGTATTATTTTATGGCCGACCACCAATGATATGGAGGCTGACAGAAGGGCATTTGAGGGCTGGCAGGATAGCTCAGCAGTTGAAAGCACCTGCTTAGGCAAGCCTAAGCAAGTACACAGGGACTGCCGTTCAACCTCCTGCACCACATGCTGCTCCAGCCCCGCCCCCAGGGTGTGCTGAGCCAGGCACACACAATAAACGGCCCTCCATCCACACTGTCCTCACAAAAAGTTTCAGAATTGGTGGACACAGCTCAGCCACTTACTGAACTCTGACCAGCAGTAGCTTTCTAAGTTCTGTAGATTCAGTCTCAGTTGATAGCAAGGAGACCATTTGCTGGTGATGAAACAGTACTTTTTCCTCATAATTTTCATGATAGTTAACTCTCAGGCTTCCCACAGATGAGCACTGATGGTTGTTGGCAGTGGTATGTGTGTGGCATGTCTAGAGCCCAGGAAGGATTTGGCTGTACAAAATCCCACTCCAGGTTAGTGTGACTCCAGCCACCCTTGGCCACAACTCCCTCTGTGCTGTGGGCATTGCTTGCTTAAGTATTCAGTGGGTTGGGGCATGGGTCATATTTGATGGAAAAGTTTAAGGTAAAATCTTGTTCTTTTGTCCTCTTCTAGGTAAACAGAACCCTATCCAATCTCTTTTTATTAGAAAAATAAATTTTATGTGAAAATTTCCCTGAAGTTTCACTGGTGATTCCAATAGAGATTCTTGGTATTACTGTTAAAACTTCATGTCTTTTTAATATCTTTAAATATAAGACTTGAGAATTTTTAGCTTAGATTGAAGTGAACCACAAATTTATTTGCTCAGTAAAACCCTGAGTCTGAAATACTTGAAAAGTCATAAAGAATGATTCAAATAGACGGAGAA